GCTAGTTCACATGCAAGGTCATATATATAAAGGTAAAACAAGCAAGGGCAGGTATAGAAAGAAGACAGTACAAACAACATCAAGAAGTGAGCAAGTGAGGCCAGGTAGGCACAAGACCTAGCACAGTACAGAAGCGCCGATGATCACAAGGCGGAAGGGCCTTGGTGAAGATATCACCAGTGTTGGCCTCAGAGGCCACGTAGGTGAGGCGGAGCTGACCACGCTGCTGCAGCTCACGAGACAGGAAGTAGCGGAGAGCAATGTGCTTCGTTCTGTGCTCCGGTCTGTGCTCCCGACACAAGGCCAGCATGGCCTTGTTGTCTACGTACAGAACAGGAGGAGAACGAGGCGACTCTCCTAGGTCAGTCCGCAGGTAGGTGAGCCAGCGTAGCTCCTGTGCAGCCATGGCCCTTGTGTAGATCTCAGCCTCACAGCTGGAGCCGAGAACAAACGACGCGCGAGTAGACCGCCACAAAACAGAGCCGGAGCCAAGGCTGAAGGTGTAACCCTGTGACGACCGCTGCGTAGCCTGGTTGTCAGCCCAAGAAGCGTCAGCGTGACCTGTGAGGACTACTCGACGTCGCCCTCCAAGCACTAGTCCCATGCCCGACGTACTGCACACGTAGCGCAACACCCTCTTCGCTGCAGCCATGTGCTCTGGTCGGTGTCTCCTAGGAGCAACATAGCGTGCCAAGATGCTAAGAGGGTATGCAAGGTCAGGTCGTGTGCAGGTCATCAGGTACATGAGGCAGCCAACAAGCTTTGGGTACGGGCCACTCGACTCTACGGACTCATCCGAAGGCAGAGCTGAGAGCGAGTGGCGAGTAGACAGAGGAGTGGCCTGAGGCAAGGAGTACGTGAAGCCGAAGCGCTGAAGGACCTGCTGCACCATGTGTGACTAAGTCAGGGTAATGGTGCGCTGTGCTCTGTCCCGGGTGATCTGCAAGCCAAGGTAGCTGCGCAGTTCACCCAGGTCTGTGCACGTGTGTCTCTTCTGCAGCTCGGACTTCACGTGGGCGAGTCCAGCAGTGTCAGCAGTGGCAAAGACCAGGTCGTCGACGTACACGAGGATGTAGAACGGCGGCAAAGAGGTGTCGGTGCGTAGAAACAGCGACGGGTCGGCTATAGAAGGAGCAAACCCAAGAGCCGCAAGTGTAGTCCTCAGTGTGTCGTGCCACTCACGGGGCACCTGGCGGAGACCGTAGACTGGCCGCCGGAGGCTCCATTGGGTGCCAGGAGGAAACGACCCAGTGAAGCCAGGAGGGCGGCGCAGCCAGATCTCCTCGTGCAAGCTGCCCTGCAGGAAAGCAGTGCTGAAGTCAAGAGAGTGAAGCTCGTAGTCGCGCTGAGCGGCTATGTGCAGCAGCACCCGAAGAGTGGTCATCTTCGGGGTGGGAGAGAAGGTCTGAAAGTAGTCAACTCCCTGCCGCTGACTGAAGCCTCGAGCACGTAACGCGCCTTGAAGACAGGCGGAGAACCCGGCGGCCGCTTCACCCTGAAGATCCACATCCCACTGACGATGTTCGCCCCAGGTGGGGGAACCTCGTCGACGTAGGTGCGTGTGGACTTCCAGGAAGCCATCTCTGCGTCCATGGCCGACTACCATTGAGAGGAGTAGGGACCCTTGATCGCCTCAGCGTACGATCGAGGAGTCGGGATGTCAGGTGCATCCGGGTCTCCCTCAGGGGCAATCAGCGTGGACACGAGATGGGGCAAAGCAGCTGCAAAGCACTGGAACTCCTCCTGCCTGTCCTCAAGGACGTCCGTGCTAAGAGCACACTCACCCCCGACGGACGGAGGATAGACAGACTCAGACTCAGCAACAAGACTGGCAGCGTAGTCTAGACGACAGCGAGCAGCGAAGTCGACAAGCTCAGCAACGAGAGCAGACGCAGCAGCAGACTTAAAGGAAGGGTCACTGACGATAGTAGCAAGAAGGCGCGTGACCGAAGGACTAGCAGCACGAAGGGAGTCAGACTCCGGGTCAGCAAGAGAAAGAAGAGAGGACTCTGGAGGAGACGGCTAAGGGACACGCAGAGGAGCAGTGGAAGGACGCAGTGCCATCTGGTGTGTGCCGGGGACCGCAGGAGGACGTGGACGCGCAGTACGACCACTAGTGCGAGCAGCACGAACAGGTGACGCGGGACGAGATGCAGGCTCACGATGCTCAGCAAGACCTCCAGTAGGACCAGTGTAGGGAGAAGGAGCAGGTAGAGGGGAGGCGGGCGATAACTGTGATTGCGACTGGACAGGCGGTGGACACTCTAGGGGAGGAGCAGGACCAGTAGAGGGCGGGAGACCAAGAACTTGCTCCAGGTGCGGAACGAAGTATGGCCTCGGCCGCGCAGCGCCTCTAGAACCTGCAAGTACGGCACCAGTACCCCCAGCGGCAGCACCAGCGCCAGCAGAACCTCCAGCTCGAACAGCGCCAACTCCAGTACCCTCAGAAGCACCAGCGCCAGTAGCACCGCCAGCGCCAACACCCCCAGCAGCTCCAGCTCCAGCAGCACCAACTCTGGTAGGACCGTCAGCACCAGTAGAAACACCAGCGCCAACACCCGCAGCAGCTCCAGCTCCAGCAGCACCAACTCCAGTAGGACCGTCAGCACCAGCTGCCTCAGCAGCACCCCTAGACACACCAGCACCAGTAGAAACACCAGCGCCAACACCCCCAGCAGCTCCAGCTCTAGTAGCACCAACTCCAGTAGGACTGTCAGCACCAGCTGCCACAGCAGCACCCTCAGACGCACCAGCACCAGTAGAAACACCAGCGCCAACACCCCCAGACTCAACAGCACGTCTCTAGCGGCGGGCAAACCACACGCGCAGCTCCTGTGGAGAGAGCGGCTCCCGCCTCGACGAAGTACCGCCGGCGGCCACATGAGCAGACACAGCACCCCCAGGCTCCGCATCCCCAGACTCAGCACCCCCAGGCTTAGCACCCCCAGACCCAGCACCCCCAGACTCAGCACCCCCAGACCCGGCACCCGCAGACCCGGCACCCGCAGGCTCAGCACCCCCAGACCCGGCACCCGCAGACCCGACACCCGCAGGCTCAGCACCTCTAGCAGCACCCGAGTCTACAGCTACCTCGACAGGCTCGACTACGTCTACCTGGGACACACCTGAAGGGGCAGGACCCTGAGGTGGGAGGGGGTCTACCTGAGTAGCACCTGGCGCAAGGAAGAGCGGCGGCGGGGGGAGGGGCGCAGTGCAGTAGGGGAAGAGACGGTAGTAAGGCACCGACTCGTCAAAGGTGACGTCCTGGGAGGACAGAACACGGCGCGTGGTGGGGTGGTAAAACTGCCAGCCACGCGCGTCAGGGGGGAAGCCAAGGAAGACGCAAGGAACAGCACGGGGGGACAGCTTGTCCGCAGACAAGTCGCGGACAAACGCCCGAGATCCCCAGACCCGAAACGCAGACGCATCGCCAACCTTCCCTGTCCACCGCAAGGCGGGGGAGGTCTCTAGCAAGGAGACCCGGGGCTGAAGGTTGAGCTGATGTGCGGCGTACTGAACCGCAAACGGCCACAGAAAATGGGGGGCAGCCGCATGCATCATTGGCGTACGCGCGACGTTCACGACCATGCCAATGCGGCGCTCAGAAATCCCATTTTGCTGTGGAGAGGCCGGAAGCGTGAAGGTCTGGCGGATGCCCTGTGCCCGACAGAAGGCTCCCAGGCGGGCAGAGGAAAACTCCCCTCCTCTGTCCGAGTGTAGACGCAAAATAGTGACGTCACCCTTGCTGCGCAAGGGGAAGAATGTGGTGTAATGCGAGTAGTCGTCAACAACCAGCAGAAAGTACCGCTCTCTCCCCTGCCCACTGACGCGGGCTGGGCCCCACACGTCCATGTGTAGAGTCTGCAGTGGAGCCTCTGTCGGAGGAAACTCAGAGGAGTGAGGGGCGGCGCGCTGTCGCCCCTCGACGCAGGGAACACAGGTAGGGCCAGGCCCCGGAGGAAGGGGAGGGAGAGACCGAGGAAGACCAGAGACAAGGACACGGGAGGCCATGCCTCGGAGACGAGGCAAGGAGGGGTGACCAAGGCGATGGTGCCAAAGGAGAGTCTGATGGGACAGCAGACGACACGAGCAGGGGGCAGACTCAGGACCAAACCTGGACGCCGCAGCAAACACCTGACTCGACGCAGCTACCTGGGCAGACTCAGGAGTAGGAGGAGACTCAGCAGTAAGGGTGTACAGGCTCGACTTTGGCCGACGGGTGAACATGGCCAAGTGTCGGCCTGTCCGAGCACACGTGCAGTGGGTCACTCGCTGACTCGCAGGAGTGAACTGGTCAACCCCTCGATCCTGTAGGTCCGCTCCAGTCACCAAGTTCATAGAGAACAAGGGGAGGTAGAGACCAGACAGGGTGCCAGAGGGGGCTGCAGGGCACGGAAGGACAGTGGAGAAGCTAGCAAGGACAGGACCCCCAGAGGGGTATGCTAGGGAGACTCCAACCGGCCGACTAAGCGGCGTAAGAGTGGTGCGGTCTCGAAAGAAGGAGCGGGACGCACTCGAGTCCAGGGTGAAGGTGTGGAAGGCCTGAGCCGGCGTAGTACCTGAGAGAGCAGACTCACCAGCACCTGGGGCGGCAGACGCACTGGCACCTGGGGCAGCAGATGCAATAGCACCTAGAGCAGCAATCTCACCAGCACCTAGCACAGCAGCCTCAATGCCCGGGTCAGGCGGTACACACAGGTAACAGGCACCCTCAACACTATCAGGAACAGCATACATGGCAGCAAGAATAGCATCAAAGTCAAGATCAAAGATAGCAACCCCGGCCTTAGCCAGATCTCCCCAGCGAGGGATCTCTGACGCCTCAGGGAACTGGCGACGCCACGCGTCCGTCACGCGACCAAATCAGCGCTGGGTGGAGTGCGGGCCCCCGCACTGCTCACCAGTGCGGTCGCCGGTACGGAGAACGTAAGAGCAGGGACCAAAACCCCCACCGCGCTGTCGTGCAGTGTACCACTCACGAAGCTGCTGAGGGGACAGGGTCACACCACTCCGCTGCTGCTGCTGGCGCTGACCACCACCGGCGCCACTCCTCGACGCAGAGTCGCGACTTGCTCCACCACCGCCGCCTCCGCCGCCTCCACCTCCTCCTCCACCTCCGCCTCCTCCACTACCTCCGCCGCCTCCGCTCCCTCCGGCACCTCCACCGCCTCCGCCGCCTCCACTCCTTCCGCCGCTGCCGCCACCCCCAGCACCACTCCCACCACCACCCCCACTCCCTCCACCGCCTCCACCACTACCTCCACCGCCCCCTCCACCTCCTCCAGTGCCCTTGCCCCCCTTGCCCTTGCCGGTGCGGCGTCTCCCGCTTGGGGCAGACGCAGCGCCGACCGACTTGAAACCAACGAGGTCGGCCGCAGCAGCAGAGGCAACAGAGGGCAAGAGGGGGGAGGGAGAACACCCCTCAAAGACGGGGGTGTGAGGGTCACCACGAGAGGCTCCTACAGCAACTATGCTCTTCTCTATCGCTAGGAGGGCCTTCTCGAGGAGGTCAACGGTGAGAGTGGTGGGGCAAACTGAGAGGAAGTGGTCCCTGACTACACGGAGAGAGTGAGGGAGACGGGTGACTATGTAGTAGAGGGTGATGTACATGGGGGGGGGGTTCTTGGCGCAGAACTCAGCAGGAAGCGCAGCGCGGTAGCGAGTGTCACTAGTGCGGAGGTGCGTAAGGAGGTCAGCAACATTGGGAAAGGCAGCAAGGTCAGGGAAGAGGTACGGTAGCATGAGGCGGCTCAGTGCAGCAGTGGCAGGGGAAGAGTAGCGTGCAACTACAGCGTCGTACAAGGTCTGAGCACTCTTGTACTGGCTAAAGTGTGCACTCTCAGTGGTCGGTAAGTGGCGGCGCACAGCAAGGCGAGCAGCAGCATCACGTGTGGCCCACTGTGAGCGAACAGTGGCGTCAGCATCAGCAGCAGGGGTAGGGGGGGCACCAGAAATGAGGTCAAACAGGGAGAGGCCGTCTGCCCTATCGCACTGCAGGAAAAGCTGCAGATCATCTACCCATACCTCAAAGTCCACTGCCCGACCCTCAGCGTCAAAGGTGAGAACGCTAGGGGAAGCCATAACAGCAGGAGGCAGGGCAGTGCAGTGGCAGAGACTGTGCTCTTACCGGGTAGGTGGAGCGATCGGGCTGCTCGGCGGCTCGGCTGTCGGGCGACTCGGCTGCAGGGCGGCTCGGCTGCTGGGCAGCTCGGCTGCTGGGCGGCTCGGCTGTTGGTGCGGGGCGGCTCGGCTGTCGAGCGGCTCGGCTGCTGGGCGGCTCGGCTGCTGGGCGGCTCGGCTGCACGGTGCTGGGCGGCTCGGCTGTCGGGCGGCTCGGCTGCTGGGCGGCTCGGGAGGCCTGCGGTTCGGCTGCTCGGCGTTGCGGGCGCTGGGAGGCGGGGTCGCAGGTGGTGGCGAGGTCGCAGGTGGCGACGGGGCCGCAGTGGGGCCTAAGTGGGGCCGTAGAGGGGCCGACGGGGCCGAAGTGGGGCCGTAGCAGGGCCGCAGCGGGGCCTAAGCGGGGCCGAAGCGGGGCCGTAGCGGGGCCGTAGTGGGGCCGTAGCGGGGCCGACGGGGCCGTAGCGGGGCCGTAGCGGGGCCGTAGCGTGGCCGTAGTGGGGCCGTAGCGGGGCCGTAGCGGGGCTTAAGCGGGGCCGTAGCGGGGCCGACGGGGCCGACGGGGCCGTAGCGGGGCCGTAGCGGGGCCTAAGCGGGGCCGACGGGGCCGACGGGGCCGTAGCGGGGCCGTAGTGGGGCCGTAGCGGGGCCTAAGCGGGGCCGACGGGGCCGTAGCGGGGCCGTAGCGGGGCCGTAGCATGGCCGTAGTGGGGCCGTAGCGGGGCCGTAGCGGGGCTTAAGGGGGGCCGTAGCGGGGCCGACGGGGCCTAAGCGGGGCCGTAGCGGGGCCGACGGGGTCGACAGGGCCGTAGCGGAGCCGTAGTGGGGCCGTAGCGGGGCCTAAGCGGGGCCGACGGGGCCGTAGCGGGGCCGTAGCGGGGCCGTAGCGGGGCCGACGGGGCCTAAGCGGGGCCGTAGCGGGGCCGACGGGGCCTAAGCGGGGCCGTAGCGGGGCCGTAGCGGCCTAAGCGAGGCCGTAGAGGGCGGCTCGAGGGGTAGTAAGGGCGGCCAATAGGGGCCACTAAGGCAGCTCGAGGCGCTACTCGGGTTAGGAGCTAAGCGCGCTCCGGGCAGGGAAGGAAAAAAAAACTCGTGGTGGGCCCTAGGCAGTATTCCCACTCGGGAACCTGCTCGATACCATGACGAGAAGTGAGAATGGAATGAATGAACTATGAAACAGTTGGGTACAAGTACTAACCCTAATTGGGTTGTACCCCTTATGGGCTACCCCACTACAGCCTACACAAATGTATAAGCTATAATGTTCTGACAATCCCGCCACTTTCTCTCGCAGGCGAGACGGAACAAGGCGACCTACCTACGGCCTCAGACCCGGCCTCGCCAGCAGGCTCGGCATCAGGCACGGTGCTAGGCTCGGTGTTGGACTCGGACCCGAGCCAGCGACGCAGTGTGCAGGTGACGTTCATATGTGGAGCGTGTGGCACCCGCACCTCACGACTGGCCAACCCCCTGGCGCTCAAGAAGGGGACAGTTTTCGTGCAGGTAAGGAAGGTATCGGGATGGAGAGGAGAAGGGATAAGGGACGGGGTATGTGGGGACCAGGGAATTGAGGACTTCAGGGAGTGAGGGAGTGAGGTAGTGAGAGAGTGACAAAGAGGGGGAAGGGAGGAGGTAAGGGCAGTGTGTAGGTGACGTTCACGTGTGGGGTGTGTGGCGCCCACACCTCACGGCTGGCCAACCCCCTGGCACTCAAGAAGGGAATAGTTTTCGTGCAGGTGAGGGGGAAAGGAGGGGGGGATGGGATGGGCGAGAATGATGAGTGAGGGGAGTTAGCTGCGGGCGAAAGGTGAGAGGAAGCAGGCAGTGTGGAGGTGGCGTTGATATGCTAGGTGTGTGGCGCCTCATGGTGACATTGGTATGCTAGGCGTGTGGCGCCTCATGGTGACATTGATATGCTAGTAGGTGTGTGGCGCCTCATGGTGACATTGATATGCTAGTAGGTGTGTGGCGCCTCATGGTGACATTGATATGCTAGTAGGTGTGTGGCGCCTCATGGTGACATTGATATGCTAGTAGGTGTGTGGCGTCTCATGGTGACATTGATATGCTAGTAGGTGTGTGGCGTCTCATGGTGACATTGATATGCTAGTAGGTGTGTGGCGCCTCATGGTGACATTGATATGCTAGTAGGTGTGTGGCGCCTCATGGTGACATTGATATGTGTGTGGCGCCTCATGGTGACTTTGAACCTCATGGCTGGCCAACCCTTTGAGGCGCCTCACTTTTGAGGTCTTTTGAGGCACTTAAAAATCCACGGCTCGTCAATCCTCTGGTGCTGAAGAAGGGAACAACCTCTGCAGGTGAGGGGGGAGCAAGTTGGGCGAGGGAGACGAGGCGACTCCCTAGTTCATTCCACTCCAGGCCTATGCCTGATTTTCATGTGCCTAATGTTATCATGACTCCCTTGTTTCTGTCGTTTGTGTTAATGCGCCTCGTCCTCTTGCATTGCTCATGCTCCATTGTTCCCCCTTTCTCTCTTTTGTCTTGATGCGCACTGAAGTGTGGCGGCTGCGAGAAGTTTCATCGGTTAGTGGATAATCAGGGTCTCATTGTGGAGTATGATTTCCGAAACGAGAGTGGTCGTGAGAGTGGAAGTGAGAGGGGCTAGTGTGCGTATTGCATCATCTATGGTGTTTCCGTGCAATTTCACCAATAGGAACTGTATGCTGGATTGCATGTAGAGAGCCTTGTGTGGCTTTTAAAAATACCAAGTGGTACCCGTATTCAAGCATCAGAATTGGAGCAAAGAACATGAAAACACTTATGACCAACACTCTCTAAGGAAGGCAGTCATTTGTTTATAGAGTTCAACGTATATGGTTATGCCGGTGAAACCGGGGGGCGTGCAATCAAATTAAAACGCCTCTTTCTTGAATAAACGCCCTATGAGGTGCCTCGCATAGGTTGTCGTTGTTAGCCATGACAGCTAGCCTAGCTAGCAGTCTCGTTGTGCCTAAAACCAGCCCTAAATGTTTTTTATCTCGTTCATTGCATTGCTTAGAGGCCACTGGTGGTGTCCTTTTTAATAGGGTAGGGTATGAGAGACCAGGTCACTCACGCCTGTCAAGAACGAACCCAACGCTCTACCAAGAAGGGCTTCAGCTTCACATACTCTTGGTGATTAGCTAGTGTTGAGTGTTTTTCACACTGTCTTTCCTACTTGGTTAAACCTGCTCCTCACAAGTGCAGCTCACTGCAATCATGTCCCAATATCTTCTAATACGAGAGGTCATGCCTGTCAAGACTCAAGAACGACCCCCCCAATGTTCTACCAAGGAGGAACCGTCCGCTGTAGGTTTTAGCAGACATGTATCCTTCAGAAAAGATAGACGGAATAGGATGTTACCCTGTAACATGGCTAAGAGACTAGACAGTCTCAATTAGGCATCCCGTCAGAGGCTTCTGCACCAGAGTACAAGCAAGCCGGTGGATTGTGGGGCACATGAGTTGAGCACTTCAGGGATATTCATGCGGAACGGAGCTATCCGGCGGAGGCGGGGCCCTCCAAGGACCCAATTTTCAGCCCCGCTCCAGCGGAGGCGGGGCCCTTCGAGGCGGGGCCCTTCGAGGCGGGGCCCTTCGAGGCGAGGCCCTTCAAGGCCCCAATCTTCATCCGCGTGCTTCAAGCTTGCGTTTCATCGAGGCAGTCAGGGGCATGTGGAAGCCACGGTTCACCAGAGGATCTGCAGCGGCAGCACAAGCCGACCACAGGCCTAACGTGTCAACCATCTTTTTAACCACCACCTTGGCAGGCTTATTCCTTGCCAGGCCCGCGCCGCCCAACGCTTGCTCCATCACCCGCGCAACGTGCCCGTCCGGGTCCGAACTGGCCGCCCCTCCGGATACCCTGGATTCGTTACCCAAAGTGGCCAAGACCGCACCGATCGCGAGCCTGCAGAGCCGCAATCGCGGCAGCGCTGCACCAACAGCTCTGGCCACAGCAACTGCGCGCTCTACAGCTGAGGCGGTGCTGTCTCCACGCCAGATGCTCCACACCGCCGCGCATGACGCCGTTAGCGCTGTAGCGTAAAGCTCGGTGGCAGCGCCACACTTCTCGACGGTGGCGGCGGTGGCCCCAATGGCCGCGCAGAGGGCCAACACCCTGCTCTCCTCGTCACTCTCCCCGTCGCCCGCCGAAGCATTGAAACTGCTCAGAACCATGCGGTACCTGCAAGAGACAGAACACAGACCACGCGGGTTTCTTTAGGCCTACTGCACGCACGCAGCTCACTGAGACATGTCTGAAAGCTGCAAGAGACAAAATACGGTCCGCACCACCACATCCCGTCGGCCGTGCGTGCAATGCAACCAACACATCCTGGTAAAGAGAGCAACACATCCTGGTAGCGCAAGAAAGCACGCTCCCGGCACCCGCCTTTGCACCACCCAGCACCCACCCGTGCACCACCCGGCACCCACCTGTGCACAGTGCGCGTGAGCATGTGGCCATGCATGACCGCCCACAGCCCAGGAGGGATGTGGCGCGCTTGTTTCCACTCTGCTTCCCACGCGGCCCGCGTGATCGTGTGGAGATCCAAACCCAGGTCAGCCGGCTCGCCAAACACCGTCCGCGCCATGCATAGGAGGTAGAGAACATTCGCTCGGCTCCTTTGCCACCCCAGGTACCATTGCTGCCCACGGATGGTTGCTTGGGCAACCCACTCTCCGCTCTCCAACTGAAAGATGCCGGCCAGCCTCAATCTCTCCACCTTCCCCACGTCCTTGGCATCACGCACGGTACGTTTCTCTGCTCCACCCGCCTGTGCCGTCCTAGCGTCGTTCGCGCGTTGGCCCCCACCCGCCGTTCCCACCTCGTCGGCCCCGGCACCCTTGTTCTCTGCTCCGCTTGCTGCTCCGCTTGCTGCTCTGCCGCCTTCGCCGACCCCTATTTCTGCGCCAGCGCCTTCGACCCCGCGCACGTCCCCTGTTCCGTCAGCCCGCAGGCGCTTGCGGGCCGTTGGTGCGGGCGCGGACACCACGCGTGCAGATGCCCGCTTCGGAAAACGTGGGGACGCCGCAGCCGGGGGTAGGGTGGGATCGCTCGCGCGTTGGCCTCCCGCGGGCTCTCCCTCTTCTGACTCTCCCTCTTCCGACTCTCCCTCTTCCGACTCTCCCTCTTCCGACTCGTCTTTGTCGGTCCCCGTGCACGGCCCACTCTTCTCGCTGCCCTGGAGCCCCAGAGGAGGAGGAGAAGGATTAGTAAACATCATTGGAATTTCTGCATCGTCGTCGCTCCATTCACATGTAGCCGGGAGGTCCAAGTGGCCTTTCTGCATCGTCGCCGCTCGAATCACGCGAGGGGTTTTTATCCTGTCAGCTATCTCCTGGAAGGCTTCCCAAATAACCTGCTGTGCCCTCTCGTTGAGGAGCTCCTATACCTTGTCCAACGCCAATGCCTCTCTCGCCGTCTCCATCACCAATTCCACTTACTCGATCCTGGCCTGATTGACATGTTTCAATAGCTAGCCCTCGACTCCCGCGTGGCACGCGGTCTGCTGCTGCTCTTCCGTCTGCTGCTGCTCCTCCATCTCTATTTCCTCCATCTGCTCCTCCTCCATCTGCTGCGCGCACACTGACGGATGATAGCAGGTGGGTGGGGAGGTAGTGATAGCCGCACACCTACACCGTGGTGATAGCGATGGCCACTCGCTCGCCTAGCTGCTGTAGGGGAGGGGATATGAGCGACCTGTGAGAGAGATTGTGGGGCGGTGGTGATACCCGCACACACACCTACACCGTGGCCACTGTGGTGATAGCGATGGCCTCTCGCTTGCCTAGCTGCCTTGGGGGAGGGGCCATGCGCGACGTGTGGGAGTGATTGCAGGAGGGATGGGAGAGGGTGCAAGGGCAGGGAGACATGGGAGGAAAGCTAGTGGGTGGGGCGGTGGTGATAGCCGCACAGCTACACCGTTGTGATAGCGATGGCCACAGCCTAGCTGCTGCGGGGGATGGGCCTAGAGCGACGTGTGAGAGCGATTGCAAGAGGGGTGGGAGAGGGTGCAAGGGCAGGGAGACATGGGAGGAAGGAAAGTCAGCAGGTGGGTGGGGCGGTGGTGATAGCTGCACACCTACACCGCTGTTGTAATAGCAATGGCCTCTCGCTCGCCTAGTTGCCTTGGGGGGAGGGGTCTAGAGCGACGCATGGGAGTGATTGCAGGAGGGATGGGAAAGGGTGCAAGGGCAGGGAGACATGGGAGGAAAGTCAGCAGGTGCGTGGGGCGGTGATAGCCACACACCTACATCGTTGTGATAGCGATGGCCACTCGCTAGCCTAACTGCCTTGGGGGAGGAGCCGTGTGGGAGGAAGGGAGGAGAGGGGGAATGGGACGACTGCGCAAGGGAGGATGGGACGAGTGGGGTTGGTCATGCGACGATGTGCATGGGGGAAAGGGCGAGAGCTGAGATGCAAGGAGGCGCAAGGGGAGGGATGGACGCGAGGGGGAAAGGGATGACCAGCACGGGAGAAAGGGACGACTAGCGTGGGAGAAAGGGACGACCAGCGTGGGAGAAAGGGGCGACCAGCATGGGAGAAAGGGAGTTTGAAAAGGTGGGCATGACGAGATGAGGAGGCGTGAATGCAGCCGGGCGCGTGCGAATGGGAGCACGCGGATCACAAGCGCGTGCGACACCGAGCACGCGGATCACATGCGCATGCGAATGGGAGAACGCGGATCACATGCGCGTGCAAATGAGAGAACGCAGATCACATGCGCGTGCGAATGAGAGCACGCGGACGAAATGGAGGGGATGGCCACCCAAGGGAACTAGGCGGGAATGGGAGACGTAAGGGAGGAAGGCCTACCTTTCGTCAACTCCTTCGTCAACTCCCCGAACCATCCCCACTACCATGCCATACCACACCCCGCTTCCACCACATATACCCAAGCGCCGCACCACGCCATGCCACCCCCCCCCACCAAACCATCCTCAGAGCATGCATGCCATGCCCCGCCCCTCTTCCACCCACGGCCAACACCACGCCATGCCACCCCCTCCTCACTACCTCTACCCGATCCCAGCGGGCATGCATGCAAGCATGCATGGGTATCTGACGCCCTCCTTGTCGCATGGCATGGCGCCACATTATGCTATGCCGGGCGGGGTAGGGCATCACATGTCGCAACAGCATGCCAACATGCCACAACATGGCAGCATGCATATGAACGTTCACCCAAGCATGCATCCCAGCCATTCAAGCCACCCACAGCACCCAGGTCGCAAAGGTACTCATGGTGGGCATGGCACACCGTACGTGTATGTGGGAATGCACCCGCCTGCCACCGCTGGTGCTGCTGTGACGTCCGCACCCTCGGGACACGCTTACCCCTTGGCGTTCACCGTGATGCAGTAGCCAGAGAGTGATCAACTTGCATCGCAGCAGCAGCGACAGCGGCAGCAGGAGGGAAGCACAGCAGGAGGCGGTGGGTCGCTTGCTTGGGCTCAGCCAGGCTCCAGCCCTCTTGCCATGGGCACATCGCTGGCCATGCTCTCTCCTAGGGATGCTACAGCTGCTGCTGCGGCACAGCAAGAGTCAGTTGCTGCAGGTGGAGTAGGGGGGCCAGGGGCAGTGGGAGGGCAACATTAGCGGAAGCAGAAGAAGGTGCGTCAGCAGAGGCATCAACAGCAGCAGCTATCTGCTGTGGTTGCAGAGGGGATGCTTGCTGGGAGGGCACAGTATCACCAGCAACAGCAGCAGCAGCAACAGCAGGTAGCAACAGCAGTAGCAGCAGGAGCAGCAGCAGCAGTAAGAGCGCTGTTACGGCAGACAAAGAGGATGGTGGAAAGGCAGGGGTATCAACAGCAGCAGTGGTTGCAGCGGGGATGCTTGCCGGGAGGACGCAGTGCACCAGTAACAGCTGCGGTTGTATGAGGTAAAATGAATACACTACTAGTCAGTATTATAAAATTGTTCTCAAGCAATACTGCTTACTGATTGATTGCTTGCAGTTATGATTTGCAATCCTCACTTGGGTTTGGCAGAACTTACTTTGCAGATCCCATACAGTAATTCTAGAATTCTGGCCTTACGTGTGGCAGTATCCCCGGTTTGGATTTAGCTCTAGGATTACAAATTCTCGTAAGGATATATTATTTTCCTTAACAGTGAAAATAAAATATCCTTACGAAAGTAAGCATTGCAAGGGGGGAAAGGGGAGAGGAAGGAGGAAAGGGAGGAGGGCGAGGTGGAGGAGGAGGAAAGGAAGGGAAGAAGGGGGGTGGTTCCCATGGCATGCAATGCTGGGCACGGCAGCATCATCGGAGATTCTCAGACAGCCAACCGGGGAGGGCGTCAAAGAGGAGGTGAGAGATTTGAGTCGCCTCAAAAGTCGTCTATCTACCCGCATTTTTCTAGGAGCCTCAAAATCACGGTTGCATCGTCGGAGATTCTCAGACAGCCAGCCAGGGAGTATCAGAGGTCCACTGGTGATCCCCGATTGATCCTAGGGAAGGGTTAGAGGCATGTTGGCCTGGGGGGTTATGGGCGCACTGACCCGCTAGTTAACAAGCCTTTTTATCCCAATGGTCTAGTGGCTGGGATTCTGACATGGTATCAGAGCGAAGGTCTCGGGTTCGAATCCCAGTGTGTGCACTTCGGGCATCCCAATGCGGGGGGGTGTCAGAGGTCCACTGGTGATCCCCGATTGATCCTAGGGAAGGGTTACAGACATGTTGGCCTGGGGGGTTATGGGCGTGCTGACCTGATAGTTAACAAGCCCTTTTATCCCAGTGGTCTAGTGGCTGGGATTCTAACAGGGAGGGCGTCAAGGAAGAGGTGAGAGGGGGCAGGTGTGGTGGTAATAAGTCGTGTTATAAGTCTACTCAAAAGGTGGCATGCAATGCTGGGCACTGCAGCATCATCGGAGATTCTCAGACAGCCAGCCAGAGAGGGCGTCAAGGAGGTGAGAGGGAGACGTGTGTGGTGGTGGTGGGGAACGAGGGTATGGGGGATGTGTTTCCTGTCGTCTTTTCCCATTTCCCTAAGTCTGCACTTCAGTAGTAACTTGATTTCACCCTCCCGTCTCGTCTCCCCCCTCATTCGCAGCATGCAAAATTCATTCATGTCTTTCTAACCTTCACAACTCCCCCTTCGCTACATCCTACTCCTCCCCATCCTCCCCATCCGCCCCACCCATTTCCCCCCATTTTGCCCTATTTCCCCCATCATTCAGCTCATAGCCTTCATCCAGCAGTGGGCCACGCTCAGGTCTTTTTCCTCCGAGCTGCCCCTTCCTCTGCCCGTCTGTGCGGACAACCAATCAGACGGCACCTAGCTAACGCTGATTACCATGCGAGGTGATCTTCTCACGTCCGTTGGATCGTTCGTCATCACTGTGGAGCCGTTGGATGCTGGTGCTCGTGGTGTAACTACTAGTGATGGTGGTGACAGTGGTGATGGTGGGGAGTTTGGGGAGTGGGTGGTGGTGGTGAGGAGGAAGGGGGCCATAGACAACAAGGCCCTTCCCGGCGAGGGCACGATAGTGGAAGCACTAAGAGGAGCACTGGAGAGGCATGATAGCATGAAGGGATATGAGACGTACCATCTCCCTAGGAGTAGCAAGACCATGCAGTAGGTTGTTGGTGTACATAATTATTGAATTGGGGGTGCTGCTGTAACATATAATGCGTGGAAAACGGTTTCCCCGTGTTCTTTCTGATTTTTTGTATGTGCTTCATCATAATGGCATTCATGACACTGCTCATGGAAATTGTTGACAATGCGGATTGTATGTATCGACGCAACTCACTACAGTGAGTATTTCGAGTGCTACAGTGAGGCGACGTGGCTATCAGCGGGACACACCCGACCTAGTGGTGACGTGGCGGCCCCTCCTCAGTTCTTGGTCCACATCGTCGCTCTCTGCCTGTTTCCTCCACACCGCACATTTGCATCCTCGTTATAGTTCAATGCACTGCGGAATGGCTCAACATTCATCCACTGTTTATGTCCATCGGGAGAGTTCAGGTCAGCAAGAGCGAGCAGGGAGGGTGAGTAGAGCATTGAATTCAGTGATCGTCGTCCTATCAATCGTAGCCAGCACTTGTGCAGCAGCGCATCACCAGCTTCAACGCGCTAGCGTTGGTCGTTCCTTGCGTCGCGCGCTAGCTTCAACGGTCCTGTCCGTCCTCTCACGTCCTTCGCCCCTCTCACGACCTCCGCGCCTCGAGGCGACTAGCATGCTCGAGCGCCTCCGCGATCTCCTCTCGTTCCTCTTCCGCTGCGCGCGCGCCGTCCTCCTCCTCTTCCTCGTGCTTCTCGCCGACGCGCTCGGCTTTCCGGCCGCCGCCCGCGCTGTGCGGCAGTGGGAGGAGTGGTTTTGCCGCCTTGAGCACCGCGAGACCGAGTCGAATTGCTCGCAGTCTAATTCTTCGCAGCGTGCGCAGACCTCGTTCCCCCACGGAGGGGTTACAGGAGAGACTGAAAAGACAGGAGACACAGGGAACACAGTAGCCACTGATTTGAGCTCGTTACACGCATTCAGCTCCCTACAGGCGCTCAGCTCGCTGACAGCCATGGCGCATCGCCTCTGCGGCCGATGTGTCTCTTCCACCGCCTCCGCCTTCCCCGCCGCCAAATCCGCCGCCTTCCCCGCCGCAACTCACGCTTTCCAATCACACCTCTCCACCGCAACCAGCACGACCAGCCCCGCCGCGCATAATCGCTCATCCCCCGCCGCCGCGGCGCTCCGTAGCTGTCGCCCGACGGCCAATTACCCGCCGCCACGTGGCGCCAAGGCGTGGTGGTATCAGCCGTGGCTGGCGCATTCCGCCGTCACCGGCGCACGCAGGCTGCTCCCCGCAGCGGGGGGAGGGGGAGGGCCGGGGGGAGCAGGCGCGGGGGGGAGGCGCTACGTGGGGACGGTTCCGCCCGCAGCTGGCGGGAGGGGAGTGGGCGCGACGAGATGCGAGGGGGGAGGCGACATGTACACGTGGCCTGATCCGACGGTCAGTAGGAAGCCACTGGGAGGGAGGGAGGGAGGGAGGGAGGGGTGCATCTTCTCAGTGTCGCCGCCACCTCTCTCGCCCCTCTTCTTCCCCATCCTTCCTTTCCCCCCGGCTCCCTGACTTTTACCCCACCACTCGGTCCCCTCCCTTCCTGCTCACCCCCACCTCTCTCCCCAGATGTCGTCACCCGCATCTCAGCCCCCCTCCCCTCCACCCTCTCCTACCCTTTCCCCTCCCAGCGGCCGCGCGTGTGTGTGTTGGGCGGCGGGTTCGGGGGGCTGTACGCGGCGTTGAGGCTGGACTCGCTGCTGTGGAGCGACGAGCGCCGCCCGCAGGTGCTGCTGGTGGACCAATCAGAGCGCTTCGTGTTCAAACCTCTGCTCTACGAGCTGCTCTCGCAAGGTGGGCAGGGCACCGCTCCTTGTTTCTCATTTCTGCCTGCTCGTAACGTGGTAGGGGCTATTGCCTGCTGGTTCTCCTTGTTCTTGCCTGCTTCGCCCCGTCTGCTCATGTTCACCTCGGTCCCCTGCCTGTTTCTCTCGTATCGTCCTCCGATTCTGCTTCCTCGAACACATCCCTCTTCCCCCTCTCCCCCTCTTCCCCCTCTCCCCCTCTTCCCCCTCTCCCCCTCTTCCCCCTCTCCCCCTCTTCCCCCTCTCCCCCTCTTCCCCTCTCCCCTCTTCCCCCTCGCCCCCTCTTCCCCCTCTCCCCCTCTTCCCCCTCTCCCCCTCTTCCCCCTCTCCCCCTCTTCCCCCTCTCCCCCTCTTCCTCGCCCCCTCTTCCCCCTCTCCCCCTCTTCCCCCTCGCCCCCTCTTCCCCCTCTCCCCCTCTTCCCCCTCGCCCCCTCTTCCCCCTCGCCCCCTCTTCCCCCTCTCCCCCTCTTCCCCTCTTCCCCTCTTCCCCTCTCCCCCTCTTCTCCTCTCCCCCTCTCCCCCTCTTCCCCTCTTCCCCTCTCCCCCTCTTCCTCTCTCCCCCTCTTCCCCCTTTCCCCTCTCCCCCTCTCCCCTCTCCCCCTCTTCCCCCTTTCCCCTCTCCCCCTCTTCCCCTCTCCCCCTCTCCCGCTCTTCCCCTCTCCCCCTCTTCTCCTATCCCCCTCTCCCCCTCTCCCCCTCTTCCCCTCTTCCCCCCTTCCCCTCTTCCCCCTCTCCCCCTCTTCCCCTTCTCCCCCTCTTCTCCTCTCCCCCTCTTCCCCTCTTCCCCCTTTCCCCTCTCCCCCTCTTCCCCTCTACCCCTCTCCCCCTCTTCCCCTCTTACCCTCTTCCCCTCTCCCGCTCTCCGCCTCTGCCCCTCCCCCTACCAGATGTCACGGCGTGGGAGATAGCGCCCAAGTTCACGGACCTGCTCAGAAGCAACTTTTGATCCGACTAAGACATCCCCTCTCTCGCTCGCCCACCCTCCCTCACTCTATCACTCTCCCCCCCACCCACTCCCTCACTCTATCACTCTCCCCCCCACCCACTCACTCTCCCGCCCACCATCAGACGTCACTGTGTGGGAGATAGCGCCCAAGTTCACGGATCTGCTCAGGAGCACCCAAGTGGCCTTCCTGCAGGATGGCGTGCAGGCAGTGCACGTGACCAAGGGCGGGGCTGCCTCTGCTGCTGACGTGGCAGGAGATACAGGTGGACGCGTGCGATTGGCTTCTGGAGTGGTGGTGGAATACGATTGGTAGGTTCACTGCACACCTCCATGTAACATGACCTCCATGTAACATGACCTCCATGTAACATGACCTCCATGTAACATGACCTCCATGTAACATGACCTCCATGTAACATGACCTTCAAAGTCCAACCTGTCAGTTCACGCACTGCCCTTCACCCCTTCTCACTCTTTCCTGCTTTCCCACTCTGCAGTTCTCCTCCCACCCTCCTCCCTCCGCCATGTATCGCAAGTCATACTCATAAGGTCCTTCCCGTGCTCTTCCCTCCTCTCCCTTACCTTTCCTACCGCTCGTCTCTCCGCCCACGCCTCCCGGCCAGGCTGGTGTTGGCGTTGGGCGTGGAGACCAACATGGCCTCCCCGCCAGGCGCCTTGCGCCTCCCCCCTTCTATCCTCCCCTCTCTCTTACCTTCGCCTACTCTCCCCTCCCCCCCCCATTCCTACCCGCCCCTCCCGCACCCCCCATGTCAGGCTGGTGTTGACGTTGGGGGTGCAGACCAACATGGCCATCACACCTGCACTCACTGCACCCCCCTCCCCGCCCACCCAACCCGCCCTATTCCCCGTCCCCCGCTGTCAGGCTGGTGTTGGCGTTGGGGGCGCAGACCAACATGGCCTTCGCGCCAGGCGCCAAGGGGCGAGCTCTGCCCTTCAGCACCCTCGACGACGCTCTGGTATGCTGCGGCAGAGTACGGTAGAGTGTGGTAGACTGGGGTGTAGTGCGATCTTCTCTGGTCCCGTCTCGTATTTGCATGGAGTGTTTGTGAGGCGGTCGGTGCCATCGTTTCAACCTGGACGTGAAGCAAGGCATGCTTGGCTAGCTGCTTTATCCAGACAAGCATCCCTCCTCCTCTCTCCACCCCTCCCGCACCACCTTCATTCCCCGTGCCTCCTCGCTCCCATCACTCCCCCCTCACAGGCGGTGGATCGGCGGCTGCTGCTGCTGGAGAAGCGGTGGCAGGCGGCCAAGGAGGCAGGCGAGGACCCAGCGCCCATTCGAGTGGTGGTGGTGGGGGCGGGCTATGCGGGGGTGGAGCTCGCTTGCACCGTGGGGGAGCGCCTGGGCAGCAAGGGGCGCATTGAGATTGTCGACCCGGCCGCTGCTGTGTGCCCCGCTGCTGCTCCCGGCAACAGACGCGCTGCAGAGCGGGTACGTCTCTTTCATTTCTCGGATCATAAACCCCCACTCCTGCATTCCCCCCTCTCTCCTCGTGGGCTGCCCTGCCCATCTCTCCCTTCCTCCTCTGTGCTCCTCTCTCCTATTTGTTTCTCTCTTGCTCCGCTCCCACCCTGCCGTTGCAACTCGTGCTCGTCTGTCCCTCTGGTGCGAACTGTCCTTACCGTCCCTCCTTCTGCCACCCCCCCTTGCCGGGCACAGGCGCTGAAAGAGAAGGGAGTGCATCTGCGCCTGGGCACCAAGGTCACACGCATGGCTGATGCAACCCACTCCTCCTCCCCCTCCTCCTCATCATCATCCTCCTCATCATCATCGTCATCATCCTCATCCGCCGCCTCCTCATCCCCCCCATCGGACTCAGACCCATCTCCCTTCGCCGAGCCAGCAGCGCGCCTCTTCCTCCAGTCAGCATCACCCGGCAGCTCTGGTAGTGAGAGAGAGAGTGACATGGAGGCCGATATTGTTCTCTGGACTGTTGGCAGCTCGCCTGTTCTCCCAGCCTCTGCCTCAGAAGAAGCTTTATCAGAAACATCAGGAGGAACAGGAGGGGAGGGGGGAGTGGGAGGAGTGGGAGGGGAGGGGGCGGTGCAGTGGTTGAGGAGGACAGCAAGGGGGCAGGCGGACGTGGAGGAGAGTCTGAGAGTGAAGGGGCTCACCAGGGTGTTCGCCCTCGGGGATGCTGCATGCGTGCCGGATGGCAACGGGCGACCGTTGCCTGCCACAGCTCAGGTGAGAGCTTGCTGGTGATGCTTTCCAGGTGATTTTCCAGGTTCTACTCAGTTTGTCAGGCGATTGTGATTGGGGGCTGCAGGATGAGGGTGCTTTCCATATGTGCTAGTGGTCACGGCGCAGCATCTGCTTTCTTCACATACGCTAGACGGTACCTGTGTCGGGCGGAGCACGTGGCTCAGTCACAACCGAATCAACTCTACTGCTCCCACTCTCATATCTGGTCGCAACTCTCGGGCTTCATTCACCATGGCAGGTGGCATTCCAGCAAGCGGACTATGTCGGGTGGAACATCTGGGCTGCCATCAACAACCGCCCCCTGCTACCCTTTAGGTGAGAATGCTCCCCTCGTTCATATCATGGGCATGGCTTCTCCTGCTATGCCCGTGTCAAATGCGCTCACTGTTCACGATGATTCCATCCAAAGCACCATTGCAATCGCACCCTTCCCGGGTTTCATAATGATTCAGCCATGCTCGTACGTACCACCGCACTGACGCCCTGCTTGCTCGTGTCTCGTCCCCAGGTACCAACATTTGGGCGAGCTGGTGCTGCTGGGGTCCAAGGATGCAGCAGCCTCCGTGGGCTTCATCGATGACTTTCTTATTGAGGGGCGCGCTGCGCACACAGGTGAGCAGCCCACACAGGTGAGCAGCCCACACAGGTGAGCAGCCCACACAGGTGAGCAGCCCACACAGGTGAGCAGCCCACACAGGTGAGGCAGCCCACACAGGTGAGCAGCCCACACAGGAGAGCAGCCCACACAGGTGAGCAGCCCACACAGGTGAGCAGCCCACACAGGAGAGCAGCCCACACAGGTGAGCACCCACACAGGTGAGCAGCCCACACAGGTGAGCAGCCCACACAGGTGAGCAGCCCACACAGGTGAGCGGCCCACAGGTGAGCAGCCCAGACAGGTGAGCAGCCCACACAGGTGAGCAGCCCACACAGGTGAGCAGCCCACACAGGTGAGCAGCCCAAACAGGTGAGGCAGCCCACACAGGTGAGCAGCCCAAACAGGTGAGAAGCCCAAACAGGTGAGCAGCCCACACAGGTGAGCAGCCCACACAGGAGAGCAGCCCACACAGGTGAGCAGCCCACACAGGTGAGCAGCCCAAACAGAGCGGCGGCGCACATAGGTGAGCAGTACACACATGTGGGCGGCGCACACAGGTGAGCACTCCAGTGGCATTTCTGCCTGCGTTGGAGTGCATGACTAAGCTCCTGCACGTCTTTCATCGGTGCCTGCAACGGTGGTTTGCTACTCCTGTTTCGAGCGTTTGCATTTGATTCATTCTCATTTCTGGCATTAACTAGCTCTCACATGATGTTTTGCAATCAAGTCTTCCTAGTGCCCACTTTCTTCTGTTTGCCCAGTTAGCCAATCCACTCAGCTCCATTGGTTCTTCTGTCCTACGCCCGCCCCCTGTCTGTGCATTGACCCTGTGCTCTCCAGCGCGCAAGCTAGCATATTTGTACCGGTTGCCAACCAATGAGCACAGGGCACGTGTTGGGGTGAGCTGGCTGACACGTGCCATTGTGGACGGCATCTCCGAGGCACAGAACTTCCTGGCAGCTGCCACCAAGGTTCAAGAGGATAAGAAATGAGCTGTAGCCTGTAGACAAGGCATGCCAACAAGTTTTGGGTGTTACAACTTGAAGATACATCCCTGGTCCATGTATGTACTCATGTGTCTATACAGGAAATAAGTATTCTGAACATGTGAACTTTACCGAACACAACCACGTACTATCATCACATCTTTTAACATGGTTCAGTCGCACTGTTGAATGTGATAACTTTTCGGGGCCCCATGCCCATAAATTAAGAACATGTGCACCGTATTTACCACAACCACACACATTTCTCATATCATTTACCTAATCTCACTGTTGAATATGATCGTAGTGGAAAGTGCTGAGTGTTCGTAGGTGTCGATGCTGCAGCACAGATTTCGCACGTTCTTAGGGAGCTGTAGGCAGGGGTACCATATATTCCATTCCCTTCATGTTTCTTCAGTTGCAGACTTTCAGGCCGAGTGTTATTTGGCTAGCAGACTTTCAGTCTGATAAAACAATGTTCATATAAGTGAGTCGTTACAGCTTTACACAGCAACTGCAGACTTGGAGATGATGCGCTCATATGCTTCACGGAGCTTAAGACCAACCATCGTCTGGAAGAGGCCAGTGCCGTTGGTGCTGCCGGGGAAGGTGGCGTTCTTCAGCATTTGCTGGGTCACCTCACCGTAGAACTTCGTCGATGTGTTGCTCAAGTGGCTCTCCACGTAGATGAGCTCGTCAAGCTTGTCGAACTGCCCGTCCATCTCCAGCACAGACACCTGAAAAATGCAGACGCGTGCAAGTCAGCCAATATTTATACATTTCGAAGGTCCCCCTTCTGTGTTAGAGAGGGCATTGCACTACGAATGTTTGTACAAGGAGCCGTAAGTGAGCGTACCTCGTTTCCGTAGTAGGTGTCAGGGCCGTAGTAGAACTTGATGCCGGGGTATGAGCATGTCAACTTCCTTCCGCAGGGAATCCATGAAATGCTGGAGCCCTCATCGAACAGGTACACGGGGTCGAAGTTCTCGAGTCCCTCCTTCTGGATCATGCGCACGCGAAGGATCTTACCCTCGTTGTCGTCCGGAATGAGCTGAGTGGGGAGAACCTGGATAACAACATCCGCGTGCTGCTTCTGGGGATCTGGAAATAGCAGGGGAACAGAGATGTAGAGGTTAGCGGGTTGGCCTGCGGGTCCATGGGGAATGAGATGGGTTGAACTGCTTACCAATGTAAGCGTCGAAGTCGGGCTTTCTCGCTTCGATGGATGCCTTGATGCTCTCCAGGCTGTGGCCACGCTCAGCCATGTCCCTCTGAATCTTCCAGGCAAACTTGACCTCATCACTGATGTCAAGGTAGATGCTGAAGTCAATCAGGTCACGCACGCGCTCATCATACCTGAAAGGCAAAAAGGCATGCTCAGTCAGTCTTTTTGCGTGCGCACACACCGCAAGTCCCAATGGCAAATGTGGAGATTACATACATGGGGTGGAGACCCTCAATGACCAGAATCTTGGGGGACTCGATAAGTTCCGGGGGGTCCAGAAGGCCAGACACGTGGTTGTAGATGGGCTTCATCACGGACTTCCCCTCCTTGAGAGCCTTGACCTGCTCGTACATCAGGTCAAAGTCGTTGGCCTTGGGGTCAAGAGCGGTAACATTGGCGACCTTACGGCCGTTACGGTCAAGGGAGTGGTAGTCCATCGAGGCAAATGACGGTGGTCATGTCGCTAAGAAGGGTGTTTGGAGTCGGGGTTGCCACCCTTGGGAGGAGCAGCAGAGCCACCGAAGACGCCAGTCATGCGCCTCATGAAGGTAGACTTGCCGCATCCTGAGTCAGCGGCGAGCCCAACCACAACAGTCTTCTCACCAGCGGCCTTGCATACAACAAGGACGGTCCTCTTGGCTGCAGCGTGGGACCTGCTGGAGGCCTTAGCGGCAATCTGCTTGCCTGAGAAGGTGTTGCTCAGGGAAGCGCTGTGCATCTCACTGCCGAATGCACCGACGCTCTTCTTGGGAGCAGCGGCCTTGAGGCCGAGTGCCTTAGTCTGAATGCCAGCAGACACGGAGCTGGAGAGAGCGGCAGCCATGGTTGGCAAGTGTCTGAGCTACCTTGGAGATTGTTCCACTGACAGAAGGGGCTGCCAGTCTATGCAGGAAATGGCAAAACCAACACAGACGAGCCACAGGAGATGTCAAAGAAGCTGTGGTCAGCGCAAGCCTGATCCATTGATGGAAGGCTGCCAATGACTCCACTGAATGACGTGGCCCGAGCCTACAAGGCACTTCCTGAGCAGAGTGACCCACTAGTGGAGCACCACAAGTGTGGAACCTTGATTGTTATTAGAACTGATCTGTCAGCGTGCCAGACCTCTGACATAGGCTTGTGGTCACCCGAGGAACCGTTTGCATTGCCACGTAAGGCAAAATCAGTCCACGTAGAGATGAAGCTCTCATTCGCACTGATCGCAGCCATCGTAAAGGTCTGCGGACCTCATTCGTTGTCGTGCATTTCGCGTATATCCGATTATGACGCAGAGGGTTTTTCAAGCAGACATCGGGTTACAGAAGGTTGCAGCCTATGTAATGGAAAGTATTAGCTGATAATATTAAATGAAGTTTTCAAAACATTGTAGAACATTGAATGTCACATTCTATGTAGACCAAAAATCTTAATCAAATATATGTAATATTAAATTGTATTATAATAATCAGATTAGAATCAAACTTGATAGAGGTCCGCTGCATGCCTCAGAGTTTCTAGCTGGGTTCCATTCTCAATCTGAAATTCATAGTAAAATCAAGCAAAGAAAGTCTTATATATTTAATATTCTATTGTGTAGAAACCTGCTACGTGCCTAAAGCAACCGCATTGATGGTGTAGGCTAAATTTCTTGAGCAGCTGTGGGAAGCTGCAGTTTTCCATGTGGGCGGCTGGTGATCCGAGAGGCTTTGGTGTTCGCAGCTCACCGACATGGAGAAGATGGGGGAATAACCAAACAGACAAAGGCACGTCAGACGCCATTGTGTCAGCATGATCCGCTATTAGTTGTTCGTGTTGGGATACTCTTTGATGCTGATTTGTCACGCTTCGCTTTACAATTACAAGAGCAAGTTGTGGTCACAAGGAAGCTTGTGTCGCAAGCTCGTGATCGTGTTATGGTTTCGGTGCGGGGAGGTTGATAAAGACCACAGCGGGTCTGTCAAGGCTCGGCAGAGCAGAAACACCTGCCTACCTGGTGGTTTGGGATTACCTTTTCCCGCTTTGGTGTGGTGGTAGAGCCCGTGCGGTAGCGCGTCGCTTTCCCTTGCCAGTTGTTACTTGTAAAACTGGGCCAATGGAGGCAGCGAGTTTCTGCCAGCGCGGATAACCGGACCATACTACCGACATGGCTCGTGTATGACTCAAGCTCGCTGACGCGGTTGGGCTAGGGCAAGAAAGCGAGCCTCGCCTCGGTTTGGCTCGGCTCGAGTTCGGCGTTCCCCAAAAGCCGCCAGGGAGGTTCCATCCCTACCAACGCCGCACATTTATCTCGGCGCTTCCAACGCAATATTGTCATTCGACTTCAGTTCAGCGCATATCTCTTGAGCTGAATTGAAGCAGATCCGTAGAAGGTAGAGAGACTTGTGGGGCGAGTCTATCCTCCCCTCCACCTCTCGCTACATTTCGCTTCGACCGGAGTGTCTTGCTCTGTTCGTTTCATCATGGCTGGAAGACGAGAGCAGAGCAATCTGGCAGGAAACGTCAGATGTCACATGACGGTGCGCCAGTCCCTGGCGTGTCTACTGCTCCTCTCGACAATCATTGTCGCCACCGCAGCTAACTCCTCCGCTTCCACCGCCACCGCCGCCACCACCGCAACGACAACAGCGGCGCCCATCGCAACTGCTGTGGCGGGCGCCCTGTCGTCGTGCAGCAAGTCCGCCATGCCCAGATACACCTCCGCCCTCCGGCTCGCCCCGGGGTAAGACGCGATGCACTTTCGAGAACCAATTTTTTTATACACTTCTGGAAATTCACAAAGCCCGGTTTCACGTCCGCCTTGAGGCTCGCCAAAGGGCAAGTTGCGATGAATGGGATATGCGAGCGTCTGTTAAGCGTAGAGAATCGTCGTCGCAGTGATCGACGGGCAGCGCCGCGGCTTCGAGCGTAGAAGTCTCATGACTGAGAGTCAATGTACGTTCAAACGACAACGGAATGCGGGGTAGAGAAAAACGACCAACGGAATGCGGGAGTCGGAACTTTGATGACCTCACTTCACATTCTCCCACCCCGCCTGCCCCCCTGGTACAGCATCGTGATGCACTGGAACGCCAACAACAACGGCAAGTCCATTCCGCTCGCCGTGGAGGCCTCGGGCGCCGCGGCACGCGGATGGTTTTCCGTCGCGTTCTCCTTCAGCGGGCTCATGGCGCCGTCCGTCCGCCGTCGTCGGGAATCCGGGGAACGCCGTCTCCGCGTACCACATGGCGAGCTATTCCTCCGTCGCGCCCGCGCGGGGGGTCAACCTAGGCTCGAAGAGCTGCGCGACGAGCGGCGGGAAAACCGTGATGAAGTTCACGCGAGGCGTGGGCGACGGAGGGTCCGTTCCCGTGCGCGTGAAGGGCATTAATAAGATCATCTGGGGTTACTCCACCAACGGCGGCAAGTCCGTGGCGTATCACGGCTCCAACATGTGAGCTTCCCAATAGACGTACCGCGATCCCACTATTCCATATCTTATACTCCACAAATATCCTGGGTTCCTTCACGTTGAGCGCTTCGACTGTTGCCCCTCGAATCAACTTGCCCACGCGGTTCCTTCACCCTCGCCCATCGCTTCATCGTCTCACACTCTTCTCTCCTCCGAACCCTCCTCCTCCCCCCCACCTCTCCCCCCACCTCTTCCCCCTATCAGCGGCAGCACGCAGGTGAACTTCGCGTGCAACGGCGCGTCGCCCGGCAAGCCGTCCCCCAGCCCGCCGGGCAAGAAAGCCACCGCCCGTGCCCGTGGTGCCGCCCTCCCAGCGCTCCAAGCTCTGTCCCTGGTCGACGCTCCCGGGGTTCACCTACATGCTCCAGCTCAAACCCCTGTGAGTCCACACGTTGTGCGTGTGAGCAACGTATGATGAGCAATGAGTGAGTGTTCCGTTTGCCCTTTTCTGAGCGCCGTCCCACCAAGTCTATTCTTTCTCTCCCTCTCTCCCTTTCCCCATCTCTTCCTGTGATCCCCTTTCAATTTCCCCGTCCAACTAGCCCGCTGGTGCTCTGGCGGCAGGGGAACCCGAAGGTGGTGTGCATTCCGTCCTCTATGCGTTGACTTACCACACCTCCCTTCCTCTCTCCCTCTCCCTGTGACCCTGGATTCCCGTCCGTCCAGCCTGCTGGTGCACTGGCGGCAGGTGAACAAGAACGTCATCGAGCTGGCAATGGAGGCCAAGCCGGGCAGCGGCGCCAACAACGGCTGGCTCTCGCTCGCCTGGTCCAGCAAACGGCAAGATGGCGCCGGCTGACGCCATCATCGGTAAACCGCATGGGCGGCACGCTTCGGCAGCTACCTGATCACGGGGTACACGATGCAGTCGCTGAAGCCCGCTTCCATCCCCTTGGGTTGGAACCCCACCGTGTTCAAGAGGGCCACCGGCTCCACTGTCATGATGTGAGTGCGCGTGACTAAGAAGCACGCCCTGCTATGATTTCTGGAACTGTGCGGTCTAGCATGGCATTTAGTAGCCCCTTGGGGTACAACCCCACCGTGTTCAAGAGGGCCACCGGCTTCCATGTCATGATGTGAGTGCGCGGGTGACTAGGGGGTGTGTGACTGGGGGGGGTGTGTGACTGGGGGGGGTGTGTGACTGGGGGGGTGTGTGACTGGGGGGGTGTGTGACTGGGGGGGGTGTGTGACTGGGGGGGGTGTGTGACGGGGGGGGGTGTGTGACTGGGGGGGGTGTGTGACGGGGGGGGGGGTGTGTGACTGGGGGGGGGTGTGTGACTGGGGGGGGGTGTGTGACGGGGGGGGGTGTGGGCGGGGGGGGGTGTGTGTGAACTGGGGGGGTTGTGTGTGGTGACTCGGGGGGGTGTGTGACTGGGGGGGTGTGGTGGACTGGGGGGTTGGGTGGGGGGGGATGTGTGGACTGGGGGGTGTGTGACTGGGGGGGTGTGTGACTGGGGGTGTGGTGACATGGGGGGGTGTGTGACTGGGAGGGGTGGTGTGACTGGGGGGGGGTGTGTGGACTGGGGGGGTGGGTGTGACTGGGGGGTGTGTGACTGGGGGGGTGTTGTGACTGGGGGGGGGTGTGTGACTGGGGGGGTGTGTGACCTGGGGGGGGGGGTGTGGGGGGGGGGGGGTGTGTGACTGGGGGGGTGTGGTGACTGGGGGGGTGTGTGACTGGGGGG